GGGTGCTCAGGCTGCCTCGCGTATCCTGGGGAGAGGGGGGGGGGCGAAATTCCGCTTAAGACTAATACTACTTGTGGTAAGTCCTGACCTGAAGACGGCGAAGCTGACCTTGGTCTTTCTAACCGACAGTTCCCATCTGCAGAGTTCGTGATCCTTGGTGATTTTAACGGCCACCGTGCTGAATGGCTTGGTTCTCGTTTAACAGATCATATGGGAAGATCTGTTTATGACTTTGCCTTGGAATATGGTCTGACACAAATGGTTACTTCACCTACGCGGATTCTAGATGTAGAGGTTCGTGCACCTTTACTGTAGGACCTTCTGCTTACCTCTCATCCGGACGGATATCAGGTCTCCGTCGACGCCCTTCTTGGCTTATTGGACCATTGTTTGACCCGGACTATGGTTCCAGTCACACTCCCATCGCGGTTGCGTTCTGCAGATTGCCGCCGTGTTTGGCACTATAGATCGGCCGTTTGGGACAGGATGCGGTCTTTTTTTTTGCATTCTTCCCTTGAGGACAGGGGCGGGTATGCTTCTCGCCGGATGATCCCAACGTGATTCTGTCGCTGATGTGGTACTTCAGGGATTGGAAGTCTTTATTCTATCATCTGTGATGCCAGGTTTGGTCGCTCCTGTAAAATTGCATCGCGCTATAATAGGAGTGCTTAATCAGCACTGTTAAAAGAAGTATAATTTCGCCTTCAGGTCGCTATGAAACGGTTTACACGGCGCTCAGTGCACATAGCACTACTCTCTAGACGTAAAGTCAAATGGACTTGATGGAGTTCCTCCAATTGTGCTAACTACGTGTGTTCCCTAGTTGACACCAGTCGAAATGTGTCTTTTCTAAAACTTTCTCTCCCTAGATGTAGTCCCGAAATCAAAGAAGACAGCTTTAGTGCACCAGATCCTTAAAAAATAACCGCAAATCAACCACTCAGACCTATCCAACTTGTTCTCCAAAATCATGAAAACCATTATGAACTGCCAGCTCATGAAGTTGAGGATCACCAACTGAAAAGTGACCGCCAGTACGATTTCCGTCGGGGCTGCTCTACTAGTGATCTTCTGGCTTACCTGACTCATAAATCGGCGGAGGCAGAGACGGAGACCCTGGCCGTTACTTTGAATATAGCTAAGGCCTTCGATCGAGTTTGGCACAAAGCGCTTCTTTCGAAGCTCCCTGCCGATGGGCTTCCAGAGAATTTGTGCAAGGATCAGCAGTTTTCTTGCAGATTGAAGAACAAAGTCGTAGTAGAAGGTGCATACTCTATTTACAAGCCTATTTATGCTGGTGTTCTACAAGGCCGCGTGCTATCACCTACGCTGTTTCTTCTTCTTATCAATAATATGTTGTAAACCAGTAACGTGCACTGGTGATACTTTATATACTCCAGCTGTGCCTATATTTCTCGGGAAAACATCGCCGAGTACCGGAACAAAGATAAGGTCTCCGATTGGGACAACTAAATCTAATTAAGTTCTTTGCCTAGAAGACACAAGTTTGCGCGTTTACTACTAAAAAGAACCCTTTTTTGTTGTAACTCCTCAATTTCATGGTACTCCCCTTTTTACCTCAGCCAGTATCGGAATCTTCAGCATTGACATATCGAATAACGTGCAGTTTCGTGGTCACTTGGAAGGGAAGGCTGAATTAGCCTTTAAAAAGATTGGTGTGCTCAGCAGAGCGGGACATTGTTTCATGCCGGCACACCGCTTGCAACTTTACAAGGGGCAGGTTCGGTCTAACATGGAATACTGTTCTCATCCCTAGGCCGGGGTTCCCTAGTATCAGCTCCTTCCAGTTGACCGCATCCAGCTCAGAGCGACTCGAATCGTCGGCGACCGACGAAGATGAAAGACGAGACGAAGAGATGTTGCATCCCTTAGTATTTTCTCTCGCATTTACCACGGAGAGTGTTCAGAGGAATTGTTCGGATTAATTCCAGCCATAAAATTTTATCAACGCATTTAACAAATCAACATCATCGGGATGTTTGGCGGTCCACTACTGTCGGACCGATACGACATAGGGAGCTTCAAGAAACGAGCTTACTCCTTTTTAAAAAGCGCCTGTAATTCCCCTGGTGTTGTATTTGTTAATATGCTGTGGTCGACACTTGCCATCAGGTGAGCCGCATGATCGTTTGTCAGTAGTGTAGTTGTACCACTTCTAGACCACCTGAGTCAGACGTGGTTCAACGACGTTCGTCGACACACGATCCTAAAAAAAAAAAAAAAAAGGTTTTGGCATGCTCTGATCACGAATCCGCGGTCCATTTTTGTGTAGAATGCACGGTTCCGGAGATGTGTAGATCAATTAGCTAATATCTAATTGATATCCGGTAAGGGCCTCCACCGTCATTAGCGTCCCATTGTTCCTATTTCTATTGTTCTATTGTTCATTAATCACCTTCATTGCAGCTTGTGCGTCGACTATATCAGTGCTATTGTATTATACTTCTTTGTTCCTAATTATACAACGCTAATCTGAATCATCAATAGAACACATTACATAATTTTGTTACAATTTTTATTTATAAAATACAAAATCTTATTACTTATTATCTATAAAATAGGAGCGAAACATCTCATCCACTAAAATATCGTTGTACAATGTGTTCCTTGTAAATATACTCGTAAAACTATGTATTGAACATCCTTGAAACTTATATAGCAAATACATTAAGCAATATTCGCCACAAACTGAAGTCCACTCATTCTGAATCCTATCAACATTCCAGTTCCATCTTTTACAATTCCTTTTCAAAAACTCTAGATGATATCGTACAGGTGATCGTCCATATGAATCAAAATATTGACCGACGTCATTCGTATCGATATATAAAGCTACCCAATGTGACCCTGGTTTATCATCTGTATCCAAATTACATATTATATACGTTGGTACGTGGGTATACATAGGCAGTCTATTAGCTGCATAAACATTATTTTCTAGACTGGGGTGAATCTTTTTCAGATGTTGTTGTACATCTAGTGTATCCATGATATTACTGCTATTAGTAGATTATTACAGTACCAATCTACTCAATGAATAACATAGGAATGGTCAATTATAGTGATTTCTAAATATTAAATTGCATTTTTGTGTTATACAAATCGTACTTGAGTCATTGATCACCAAACAAAACACAATACGAAGAAATGTTGAGATAGGCAACGGAAATGTGAGATAAACTGATATGTTTCTAAATATTAAATTGCATTTTTGTGTTATACAAATCGTACTTGAGTCATTGATCACCAAACAAAACACAATACGAAGAAATGTTGAGATAGGCAACGGAAATGTGAGATAAACTGGTTGACGCATAAAGTAATTATCAACTCATTACGGAAATACTTTAGATTAGAATTTTTACGTACTGGTGGTATATAAGACCAACAGACGCAGTCATCGAGTTAGTGTACGGTCGTTTGGCTACAGTGGATCTATCAATAGTACATTAGTGTTACTTCAATACACCAAAGGCTATGGATGTAAGTGTTTATTCTATTGACTAAATTACTTTTTTTCTGTTATTTTCATGTGTGTGTATTATTTTATTTAAATATTGTGTATGTATATGATTAAGCCGTGGTAACTCAGATGGTTAGCGCTAGCTGTAAATTTCACAGTACGCGACCCGGGTTCGATCCCCGCCAGCACCAATTAAATTGTTAATCGCAATTTTAAGTGCTTATTACCACGTGCTTGGTGGTGAAGGAAAACATCGTGAGGAAACCTGCATGTCTGAGAAAATTTCGAAGGCATGTGAAGTTCGCCAACACACATTGAGGGAGCGCTGCGGACATTTCCTTGCTCTAAAACCCTCTCAGAAATGAGAGGAGGCCTATGTTCAGCAGTGGACTTTAATAGGCTGTAACTTTAACTTTTTTAACTTTTATGATTAAGTGTTAACAAATTGATATTAACATGATAACTGTGTTGTTGCAGAAATCATTGAGCTTCGATGAAGATACCTATAAACAGTATTACTACTCGCCACTCTCCCCTCAAGAAGAGAGTGATGACCTCGTCATTAATAATAACACATGCGATGGTGGAAAAAGAAAATCGCAATCGATTGATCATTTTTTTGAAGCTGAATCAAAAATAAAAAAGAGGAAGCTGTTATCATCAACCGTAGCACGAGCCGCTAGAGATGGTGTATCATACATTTCTACTAATTCTGACGACGGAGACCAAGCGACGCATCTCATCAAAATTGAAAGGTACGATATGAAGAAGCTATCCAAGATTCCAACTACTGATCATTGGAAACATGCTTCCACGAGAATTAAATATTACGTAAAGACTAATAAGGATAGCATCTACGACAACACAAACGCCCTCGTATACAATATAACAAAGACAATAGCAGAAAGTTAAAAAGTTAAAAAATACTTTTTTAACAATGACAGTCATTAGCTGATCATTAGTGAATGTGATTCTGTTTACTTCAATTACAGGAAGACAAGAGCGGAAGGAAGAGATGAGTGTGGCATACGTGTACAAAACACATCATTGAATAACAAAACTACAACACTGAGTGGAGAAGAAAACGAGAAGAGTATGCAGTACTCAAGAGCTGAATATCCATTCTTCAGTTCAAAATCTAGCCGTTTGCTTAGTTTTGAAAACTGGCATCTCGTTACGCGACAGAAACCTGAAGATCTTGCAGAAGCTGGTTTCTTTTATACTGGCCATGCAGACGGGACCAAGTGTTTCCATTGTGGTGGTGGTTTAAAAGATTGGGAAGATGATGATGATCCTTGGCAGCAGCATGTTCAGTGGTTTAGTCAGTGTGCTTATGTAAAATTTCAACTCGAACAGTGTTTTGTATTAGATTAAATAGAAGATATATAAAAAATAAAAAAAAATATATTGCATACAATTTGTTTTATTTAATTTTATAACGTTTCACATAGTTACATACACACAAAATGCATTACACATAACACATAAAATCTAACACACAACACATATTATAACCTTAACTACTATAGTCTACAGTAACATTTCTGTTTTTATCTATCTCAATAATATTATCAAACTCAGCATAAACTATACAGTTAATTGTTTGTATTAATGAGGATTCAAATCGTACTTCTATTCTTACACTACCATGCTTTATGAGATTCCAATGAGTTGATGAGTTAGCTGATAAATCAGGAGTTAAGTCAAATGCTAATAGACAGTAACCTTTGCCATACTGTTCACAAGAGATTCCATTTCCTTCATTAAGAAAGTGAATACCAGTTCCCGAGAATAGAGTATGATATGCTGATGTAAATATGCTATTATTAAAAGATGGTTGCAAAGCTTTTGAAGGTATTTGTTGACCATCAATATATAAGCTGAAAGAATTAATACCATAGTTTTCAAAGTTAAATGGATTTTTAGTAAGGGAACCATTAAATGCAGAATTGTTCACAAATCCAATTATACATCTTTTCGGTACCTGTCCTAAAAATATATTATCAAGAGTTTTTCCTTGAACACCCGAAGGAATTGTTAAAACTTTTACTTCAGCTCGAGTAATAGGATATTTAGCAGTGGTAGAAGCTAAAACTTTTTGATGTGCGAGTAATACACTTGGATTAATTCGTGCTCGTCGAACAATAAGAGTTGCGTCCGTAATGCAAACTTTAAACTTTACATCGTTTGACCCAACAATTAAATTAAAACTCTCTCTTGATCGAACCAATTTAACACTCATTTCAACACCATTAATTAAAAATTTATCTTGGTTAAAAATGTCACCGTGAAGATGACCAATCATTTCTATTTCCTTACTTTCACTAATCAATTCCTGTCTTTTAACAAATCCTATGTTTTTACCATCTGTAGAATCCATTTTTCCTGCTGTATCCTCATACCAAAGACTACAAGTAAGATGAGATTGTTTAGCAGCAGGGGCATAGTTTAAAAGGGTTTCCATGTATGCTCGATATGCATAGGTATTATTAGGTGGTGATACAAGTTTTTGGTTTAAATAAACATCAAGTTGACTAAAAAGTGAATGCAGCCAATTATTTACAGGTGCTACTATTGTAGTAGATACCAAGTTAGTTGAATCTTGATTTAATACTTTTGCCTTTATGTGGAGTAATGTATGAGACAAATCTATGTAGTCATCGCCGGTCCCAGGAACTTGAAACTCGATAGGTCCATCATCACCAAGAGATGAAATTGGTTTATAATGAATCCACAATCCATTTTCAATGCTAGTTTGTGTAGACGGTAGTGCAAACAAATCCAATTCTGACTTAACGCACTCACAAGAATGATTATGAAGGAAAGACATATTTAGTTTGAAAATATATCTTTGATATTTTTTGGTTTTAGACAAAGTTTTTTCGCAGCTTTCACTTTAGCAGTTAATTGTGGAATGAACGATGTCAATCGTTTTCTTTTAGTTTTATACCCAGATCCAGTCATGTTAAATTGATCAATTTTCTCATCAGCCTTTCGTTTTAAATTCGTACTAACTTGCTTTAGACGATCTTTTATTGAGGCTTCCATAGGACGGGCTTGAACCATATCCGATAAAAGTCCTACTCCAGCGCTTAATGCCTCCTTACCAATCACTCGAGCACCACTTGAAAGTAAAGGTAAAACTGATCTGAATAACCCCCCTAAGAAGCTCCCAATACCATGACCGCGTTGATATGGTGAACCCTTATAAATTACTCCAACTCCTGATCCAGCTTGATGTGTATAATAATTTTCATATGGACATTTATGATGATCACGAAGAGAATTCATTATTATAATTTTCGGAAATGTAGTTTAATACACACGGTTCCAAACTGGAATGGTATTTTTTGTCCTGTACTCGATCTTATAACTATTTCCAACGTATCGAACTCTCTTCGCATAACAGGTAAGTAGTGAGGTTGAGAGAAAACGTGCATTTTATTTGCACCATAAATGTATTTTGTAGGATCTAATGAAATGACTCTTAATAAAGGAGTCATAACATCACCCACAATCTGAGGATCGATAATGTCGCAATATAGAAATAGTTGAGATGGTAACCCTAAGTGTAAATTAGCAGGACACTTTCCAAAATTTCTCTCTAGGAGATTTTTATTTGGTTCATAACCTAGCTGTAAACTTAATTTGGGTGATAATGTTACGGATGTTATATTTTTATCCAATACCGAAATAGACACAAATTTTGTTATTTCATCATAGCGAAATTTCAAGTTCTCTCCGATACCATTTAACACTCTTAAAATATGCTCAACGTTATCATAGTTGGTAGCTGGAATATGTTTTTTGTAGTACACTGTGGATGGTTTATCTTCATTAGGCATTAACATAGATTTTGTAATGTATATAACATTTTCATGGTCTTGAACAGTAAACATGGTACATGGATATTGAAACTCGACAACTCCAACCGACCATTCACCTTCTAATTTTATAGCTTTTGGTAATTTCGTTGAAAAATTTGTGGTCTTGTTATCAGGAAAGTATTCCATTGAACTATTGCTGAGCAAAGTTAAATAGAAACTTTCTTTATTCATATTTCTTTTAAACTAGAAGCTAAAATCCAACTGTTAAATTTATCTGGATAACCTTTCCACTTCACTAATACTTCTTTTCTGTTACCTGAATAACGAGTGTCAATTATTTTATCTATTTTATGTTGTGAGGTGGGGTTGTAAGTGATTTTCTGTAATTCTCTTTCATAAAAAGTAACCAATTATTGGTTCATTTTGTAAATCTGTTATTGTATAAACAACCCATGGAGATCTATCAATTATTGAAGATATAATAAATATTTCATCACTCCAATTTGATTCATATCCTTTTTGGAATACATGTTTATATTTAGTTATTCGAACATAATCACCCACATTGAAATTTGGTTTAGGATTTTCTAAAGAAAGTTTTTTTGACCGTCTATCATAAAGATTAGTCCAAACTGTCATAATATTGTTGGAATTTACATCACATGGGCACATCTTAATACTAGAGTGAAAGCTGTGATTATAAGAGTATATTAAATCTTGTAAAACATCTATATATCTATAAGTATTATTATGAGTGAAATAACGCCACATTTTCATTTTTAGTATTCTTTGAAATCGTTCAACAATACTAGCCTTAATGTCAGGATTGTTAGTGGTATAGTAATTAATCTTTTTGGATTTAAAGTATTTTTGTACATCTTTTGAAACAAATTCTGTACCTTTATCGGATTGTATGTGAGTAGGTGTTAAATTACTTTCAGTAAATATACTTTCAAAACATTCTTTAGTTGTTTCTGAGTTTTTCTTTTTCATTGGTCTTGCAAAAGCATATTTACTAAATACATCAATAATACAAAGTATATACTTGAAACCATCATTATATTGAGAATAAGTTCGCATATCACTTAAATCAGCTTGCCACAGTTCATTAATATTTGATAGAATGTACCTATTACGCGGGAATTTTTTTCGAATGGGTTTATGTAATGTGTATGTTTCTTGTGATTTTAACCATTCCTTTACTTGCTTTTTATTCATTTTACCCTTCATGGCTTTTGATAATTTATCAATACTACCAAAACCAGCGGGATTAGATGGATCATAATAAATCCTGTTAATTTCTTCTAGTACGGAGTCCATTTTTCCCACTCAAGTCCTTTACGTATTTTAGTTGTAGACTTTTTATCTCTACTGCACGGTGTAGAAAACTCTTGAACTTCAATCTCAGAGGGTTTGTTCAGATCTTTTGCTTGAAGTTGGTTAATAAACTCACATCTCCTTGGATTTCCAATATAAGTAAGTGGTACTTTAATATCTTTTAATGCTTCAGCAAATCTAACCCACCCTACCGGATCACTTCTTTTTAGGGGTCTTAGTGAATCATTTATTAAATCAACAATATTACTTCCAGGAATTTTTTCACTATCAATTATGACTGTACCTTCGTTATCCCAATGTATTTTACTTTTACTTGTTTCAACTAAGTTTAATAATAACTGCCCTTTTTTATGATAAGTTTTTGGTATTAAACTGAGTATTTGAGCTGGTGTGTAAAGTGGATTTTCATCATTTTCTTTACTTTTAATGGATCGATTCTCCTCCAGCAAAGATTCAATATCAACTGAAGTTTTTAGATCTCTGTCTTTATTTTTAAAACCAATTTTTGACTCATTTGAATCTTCATTAGATGTATCAGAATAAATTGGTAATTTGAGTGGTTGACGATGCTCTTCGGTAAAATGAAGGTATCTTTGCAGTGTTTGTAAATATAATATCCATTTCTTTCGGTCTTCCGTCTTACTATTCATAATATTTTGCATTTCAATATCTAATCGAGATAAATTACTATTAACCTTATTTTCTTGTTTTAATTTTTCAATCAATCCAGGTTCGATAAGTATCATTTTCTTTGCATTTTCCATGTTAACTGGCTAGTCCACTCACTAATCCACTCAATATTGCACCTAATATTGTTGGTAAGAAAGCCCCTCCTTTTTGTATAATTATATTTTTTCTTAGTTTATGTTTACACTTACGTACTAGTTTACGGAGTATGTTTTTATGTTTATTCAATTTTTGTTTATCCTGATCTTTAAGAGGTACTTTTCCTTGTAAAACGTTATGAATACACTCACAAATACAGTTAATTTCTTCTTCATCACACGTTTTAAGTAATGCTCTTTGATATTTTGGTTTAAGCGTATGCAAAGCGGTTAGCAAATGTTTATACGTTGTGAGTCGACGATGCATCATTTAGCAATGATTTCAATTGTTTGATTCTTGGTGTATTTAAACTCTTTTGTGGGGACGTAGACTGTACAGAAACCATTAAATGGAAAGACATTTGTCTTGATACGACAAAAATCATTGGTATTCTGTTTTAAATCTACCATTAAATATCCATGCGCCTCTAGAGTTGCATCCCTGTAGGCATTTTCAATGAATTTTGGGTTATCTGGTGATACTTGTCTTGCTAAATATCTTATTTGAGTTTTATCTCGAGGGTTTTTAAAATATATTATATAACTTGAGTTTAAAGATATGTCTCTTTGTCCTTTACCCTGATGAAATAAATTTTGTGTTAGATAAAATACACTAAGATTCCTGTGATGACTACCTTTTGTAAATATATCCACAATTCTTCCATCGGACTCTCTCATTAGATCATCAATAATAACAAGATGTGGGTTTTCACCATCAAACATATTAAGATTTGGAATTCCTTGATGATAGTTAACATTTGGTAAATTATATAATGGTTGCATTTCATCAAAGCACCATGTGATCTGATTAAAATCACAATTACATATTTCTGTAACTGATTTTATGAAATTTGTTACAAAATTTGACTTCCCACACCCACTTGGTCCTGCCACAATAGCAGTGAACGGATGGATAAAGTGAAACATAACACACGTCTAAAGTTCAAAGGGGTGAAATAAAAAATGAAAGTGTTGGTGTAAACAATTAATATATATTCCAAAAATTATATAAAACAGAATTATCTGTATACACTATTTCTAACACAATTAGTACATCATAATTTTACAATTAACTCAACCTCAAATAAATAGAAACAACAATTAACTTAAATTATTTACAATAAAACAATGATTAAATATGTAATAAACTACGTCATATTATAGTATTATCATAATTTTACAATCAATATAAATTTTTCTTAAACGCAGACATAAAAGTAAAAACTATCAACACTTAACGCAGTTTATAATGACCACAAGCTAATGTTTCAATATTATTATCTAAAATATGTCTCTTTGTGTCATTATATGATAAACCTATCTTATTTAATTTTTGTGTGAAAATTGTGTGTTTAATTCATTTAAATCTAAGCATACTATAATATTGCACTTTTTTATTAAATAGAGAAGACTTATAACTATTCATTGTCATCTTTTTAGTGATACATTTATTTACCCCTTTTGCCTTGGCTATAGTCTTATTCTCTAAGTTAAAAGCGTACATTTTGGATCGTAAACCCACAAATTCTTTCATGATTTTACCATTATTTTCATCTTTAAAAAAACCTAATTTCTTTTTATTTAATTTTGGATATTCAAAAATATTATTTGTATCATAATCTGAGGTATCAAAGTATGATGAAAGGTCAGGTTTTATATCAGTGTAAAAATCATTTGTAAATATATGATATATTAAACTATCCGTATCTGTGTACAATAATTTGATTTTACTAAACTTTTTAATCATATAGTTATAATGAAAATCATACATTAATGTTTTTAAAATATCTAAAATGCAAAACCCTAAATAAATTGGTTTGTTATATATTAACTTCGTTTTT